GTGTATATATATATATATATATACATACCGGGTGTCGTTCTATTAGAGGTCTACCGATATATATATATATATATATATATGGGGTGTTTTTTTTTGATAGATTACGGAATTCGAAAAACTGACACTAGGCAGATGGAGAGACAGATGCTGGGTAAATTTATTGGCAGAAATTGGATTAATTTTTTTTTATTATGGGTTTTTCTGGCAGGAAAATGAAATTAAATTTTTTTATCTAACTTTTAGTATGTTTTTAATCAATTAAAAAAAAATATCACAACGCCAACCTTTTAGTTTGTCTTAAATCCCACAATCGAAGAACTCCACCATCGTCTCCTGTGAAAAAATAATCTTCACATCCTTGATCCTTGCTCATTGCGATATCCCGAATCGATTCACAGTTTCTATCACTGAAAAACACTTTTTTATTTATAATTTTCTCTTATTTTTAATATTTTTTACCATTTGAAAGTGAGCTGATGGCTATCCTTCACTCGCATATCATAAGATCTAACTGTACAATCACGAGATCCGGAAACGAGAATATAGGGAGCGGTGGCGTGCCAATCGAGACATGTCGCCGACCTCTCATGAGCTTTGAACACAGATTCTGCAAGTGATTTTTATTTATTTCATGTAAAGAAAGTTTTGAACGTACTGTTTCTCCTAGAAATATTCCAACATACTATCGACCCGTTAGAAGATGTTGTAGCTATGTACTGATCTGAAAAACAATATTTTAAAGACTGATTTCCATTTTTTTCCAAACCATAAAGTTGATTCCATTTTACATTTTGTGCAGAGTAGAGAATGTTGACTTTTCCTTTTCGATAAACTCTCATATCGAGATCTTTGACGATTGAAGGAGCTTCAAAATCTCCGGATCCATGCTTTTGAATTTTTATGACTTGAAGAACTAAACATTTATACATTTTTTTTTCACAATTTTTCCAAATTTCACTAACCGCCTCGAATTCCCGACACCACTACACGATCTTTTTCCCGATTCAGACTCATAGCGTCCACTGGTTCGAACAAATCGATGACTCGTTTATTTTCCGGTGTTGGATCCTATAATTCGGACCAATAAATATTGAAACAATAAACAATTAAACCACCTCGCCATCGAGACGATTTTTGCCATAATCGGCGAACAGAATTTCCGACGACGCTTTCTTCTGCACATTTCCCGGACTTGGCTTTTGCATAAACTGAACAAATATTTTTAAATCTATTTTTTTAAAATTCAGATAGCTTTTTCTTCTATAAATATCTTATTTTGCAGAAAATCTTGCAAAAAAACCCTCGAGAATACAAAATCAATTGCGCTGCACTGACATGTGTTATAGAGAAGAGACGCAGACAGAAACCATGCAACATTTGCGCGGGAGTTCAAATAAGAGCACCCAACAGCGTTTCATCATAGAACCGATGCTGATAAGAAGCGAATAGCAATGTATTGCTCGTTCTTAACCAAATATTGGAAAGAAAAAAATTAGAAAAACACTTTGCAATGAAGAACCTACCTTTCCTGCCGAAAACATAGTTTATTCAAAACAGTTTGCACTAGTTTTGAGTATAGAACAGAAATTATAAATCGAAACTGGAATACTAAATTGAGAAGTTGGAAACCTACTGATAACGAGCGACAGGCAACACAGAGTTTCTACGATAACCTTCTCGTCTCTAATGGCAATCATCAATATTTGGATTTTTCCTCTTCTGATTTCTCTATATTCCATTATCTGTCTTCTGGTTTGGTATGGATTTGAATTCCGGTAATCGAAATTTAAAAAAGAAATTTCAGTGTTATACTATCGATTACTTCTAAACATTTTCCGGGTCATTGGCCATATTTAAGGTTTGTTTTTTTTTCCTAATGATTAGCTAGTTTTTCAGCGATTTTGCGAAATACATCCCCGCTAAAAATGCCTATACTATTATGACAAATCACATTCTTCTTCTCCGTAAGATTTGTTAAAAATTCTAAGAAAACAGTCAAATGAGTTTTCAGTTTCTGTATGGATGTATCTGAAATATCGAGAATTAAAATCATATTTCCGGCAAGCTAACATTTCCGCACTTTATATAAAAGCGAGCAGAACAAATTTGTTGATTGGGCTCGCCGCATTGACAGCTTATCAATTGGCAATTAATTTTCCGGTAATTATTATCCTGGTACAAAAATCGGTGATGTGGAAGAAAAACACTGGCGACCGAAGCCAAAAGTCCGACAACGGCAACTACCGTAACCTAACAATATTTTTATTTTCTTTTTCTCGAATTCCGTACGTTTTCAGTCAATTTCTTCGCTGTCAAAAATGTTAAATTTCTGACACTTTTTCTCGAAAAAACAGGAAACTCGACGAAAAGCAGTGAACAACGAGACAGTAAAAAGGTTACTGCAGTATTCATCGTAGGGCCTTTGGCGTCCGAGGTTTCTCGTCCACAGCTCCAATTTCTGCATATCAGCTTAAAGCTGTTATTCCCAACACCATAACCTTGTTTTAGGCTACAAAAATCAATCATGTGGCTCTGGTAGGTAACAAAGTTGCTCTGGTTCTTGCAAACATCTATATTTGGTGTCATGCATTTCTTTCACTCAAAATTCAAGATGCAAATATTCCCAGATGGATTCTTTTCCTTATCAGAATCTGTCTAGCATTCGTAGTCTTTTCTTTGGCAGCTGCCAGTAAGTTTTTGTGATCAATTCCTCTTATTTTTCATTATATTTTTCCAGTGATCCAAGCCAATTGGGTGCCAGACCCAGCCAAACAGTACGTCGCAATTGATGCAATTTACGAGTGGTGCTGCTATTTTGCTTTCTCTATTTTCCTTCTAACTGATTCCTACGAGTTCCGGTTTATGGTATTTAAACCTCCAAAACTCATCATTCGAGGATGTACCGGATACAACGAGAGAGTCTTTGAATCTAGCGATGTTTCGGAAGATGAAGATATTCTACCTCCTTTTTCTCAAATATTCGTCAATTAGTAATATATTCTTTAGCTTCTTTTTATTGTATACGTGATCTCATACTTTTTGGTAATTTTTTCTAGGTTGCCAGGCGACATACGTGGCTCTTATGGATGTATTAAAAATTAGGTGTACTGAAATAAACAACTGTTGAATAGAAATGTCTGAAGCACTCCCAAGAGAACAGGTAACACAATTATTAGCTAACTGTTTTCCCAATGAGCAATAACAGGTCTGGTGGGCCGGCTTTACCTCGCTATTAGCACGCCCGCTTACTCTCAGCCACTGTTCAGCCGCCAATGGTCCGATCATAATCAGAGAGAGCTTTCTGATAAAAATTCCGAAAACGTATCACTAGAATTTGATTTTTTAGTTATTCCAATAAAATCTCAAAATTTCGTACTTTTCCTGAATGTTGAGTGGCCCGCCAGCAGACCATCAGCGATCTTCAACCACCTGCGGCCGCTTAGACTCCCCTCGCCCGCTAATCGGACTCTTGGTTTTTGACCCAGATTTGAATTACTGAATATTAGTAGCCAATTTAGGGAATCGCTGTCTTGAAGAATGAGAATTTCCTTCTCCCAACCCGCCTAATCTCTTCTACAAAAGATCTAGAAGAAGACTTGAGTGATGTGTCTCTAGAAGAAGGAATCGTCGAAGAAGAGGATATCGACGAACTGATCAAAATAGAGCTCGAACTGATAAAACGAGATGAGCCAGAGAAACAAAGACACCAACAGAAGTCGACAACTCTCGGTGCATTGGATCATTTGGCAGATGGATTGGGATACGATATCGATGGAAGAGATCGTCCGGATGATGCTCTATTTGAGTCGATAAACGAAGCAGCAGCGTTTTCTCCGTTGATTTTCTGTGGCGAATCTCATGAAATGGAGTGCATTGCTCTTTGGGATTATTTCGGAGGGAATGGTTATGATGATTTGAATGTTCATGCTGGAGATTTGATCAATGTGGTTGCAGAGGAATATCAGTACAGAAAACGAAATTAAAACAAAAATCTTGATAAAATACATTTTAGAGTCCGAGTTATCGACCAAAACACCTACATGCGACTGCCATTTCAGTGGTCTTTGGGTCGATGGATGACTGAACGGAATGTGAATCCCTATCTCGGTTTAATTCCTTCTCATTACATTGTCTCCAAACAATTCTATGATGGTCTGATAACCTTTACAAGACGAGATCACAATTAGATCTTTTCCAGAACACCCGCTTCTATTCCAATGGCCTGTATGGTATCATGGAAGTGCAGAGGTACACGAAGTGGTTCACAAGTTGTATAGCGATCGGTCAGCTTTGTGTCCTGGATTGTTTGGGATTTTCTCTCCTGCATGGCTCAATATCGATTTGGATGAGCATCGCTGTTATTTTCTGGTGATTCTAATTGAGAGGGATAAGAAACATGATGATGAGTTGAAGCAATTGATTGAGATTGAGAGAGGAAGTGAGTTATTCGAAAATGTAAAGGATTACTGTAGGGAAAAATTTTCGAAAATGAGAAGGATTACTGTAGGGGGAAAATATTCAAAAATTAAAAGCATTACTGTAGGGGAAAAATATTTATAATGAAAAGAGTTACTGTAGAGGAAAATATTTAAACAGTTGAAGGATTAATGTAGGAAAAACATTCTTCAAATATAGAAAGTTTCCAACGTACAAAAAAATGGTCCACTGCATAAAAGCTATATTCTTTTTCTTAAATTTTAAAACAATCTGGTAGCTTTGACCTTCTTTTCTAGATCACTAAATTTATTCGATTGCAGCTGAAAAGTTTGTAAAAATCATTTATTTTTGTCTGGAAATGCTCAAACTCTTAACGATCTGCGATACATTATTCTAGACTATGGAATCATGGTGAATGCAATCAACCACTTCTTCGGAGAGATGATTCCAGAAAACTCTCAGCCTGAAAAGTCGGCAAAAGTTCAATATATTGAGTTCATGTCAGAAATAGAAACAACCCCGTTTGAACCAGCGGTAAGAGATATGAAAAGAAGAATTTGAAAAGTTTTAGTTCCATTCGGAAAGACTTCAGATTTATGAATCCAATTTTTTTGAAAGGCCTGTTCACAGGTCGTCCCAATTCATCGTTCCTCGCTTGGTCATTACGAACTAATGGGAGAAAGATACGAAACACTCTACGATCTGGTCCATCACCTCTCCACCCACCGTTCTGCCCTCCCTCATAAACTGGTATACTGTAGATCTTCTCCTCTGGTTGTTGGACAGAATGTTGTTCCACCTCCAACTCTTCGATTCCGAAAAGACTTGCGATGTCAGCCAATGATAACTGAGCAGTGGGCTGCAACTCATTTCGATGAGGTGACACGAAGATTCGAAGGAAGTGAGAAGACACTTTTTGCCACAAAAACTCTCTTCGATGTTGGAAAACCGAGTCATAAGGTAATAGAAGGACAGCTGAGTCTTCGAGAATCTGAAAAGGATATCATGGCTTCTTATCTCGCAAAACTTGACATACCAAGATCTCCATCAGAAGACAAAGTCAGTGCTGCAAAGAAGAAATATCCACCTCACGAGACCTCAATTCGAATCAACTCTCCGTTTTATATCGACTTGAAGCAGATAGTGAGTCGTCCCTCTTTTTTTTTTGAATTCTGCAGTCCAATCTCCTAAATTCACTTTTTTATAGGAATCCGCGAGAGATTCTCTTGGAAAAGGAGCATTTGGGCAAGTGAATAAAGGAAAATTGATTCGAAACTCGGGCGAAAAAGTTCCGGTAGCAGTGAAAAAATTGCAGTTGAGAGAGAATGAGAAGGATGAGAGAAATCCTGCATTTACAGAAATGGAGATTTTGGAGGTTTCGAAAGTTTTCGAATTTTCGAATTATGGAAAAATTTTCAGATGGTATCCCATCCAAACATTGTTACTTATTACGGTTTCTCAATGATGTGTAGTGGAATGAATGGAGTTTCCGGTGGAATCCAACTCTTTTTGATTTTTGAATTGATGGATGCCTCGTTGGATAAATTCATTGAAAAGACTGATGCGATGCTCTCGGAAAACGAACGACTGGATATTTTGGCTCAAATCTGTAGAGGCATGAGTTTTTTGCACACTCGAACACCGCCAGTGGTTCATGGAGATCTTGCGGCAAGAAATGTTCTTATCAAGAAACATCCGGTTTATACCAAAAAGTAAGGCACACTAGCAGATTAAATTTTGGCCTTATTTTGTCAATTTTGGGTCCTGTTAAAACGAAATAAGGTCATTACTGTTTCAACTGATCTGAAAAATATCAATGACAGTAACGTTCAAAATATTTGCGCTATTGTAGAAAAAAAACATAGTTATTAAGTAGTTAACAGATTCCACCTTCTATTGAAGGTTACTCCCAAAAGCGGCTTTTAAGGCACATAATTCAAAAACTACTGTAGCTAGGAAAAAGTAGACAATTACAAAATTTAAGCTTCATTTGTGGTTAGTTTTGCCAAAAATTTATAACTAATTTTAAAACTGCGAGTTTATTATATGGAGATTCTGAGTGTACCAAAATTGGTGTCCTGAGAAGAAATATACTATAAACACTCTAATAGAATGATCAACCTTAACTTTTACTTTGAGCCAATTTATCTCGATCATCTTGAAAGATATCAAGAAGTGGTCAACTGACATAATGTTTTAAATTTTATAATTAACATTTTGTCAGTTGACTACTTTTTGATTCATTTACAGGAACTTAAACATACCGGTTGAAAGTTGACGGTTTAGGGAACGGACTATTAGGGTGTTTACAGTATGTCTTTTGAACACCTATAACAACTTTCAAGACAAAACTGTATTTGTTCGTCAAATTTTTAAACTTTCTAAAGTATAAAGAAGCTGGAATTATTTAAAAAAATTATTCCAGACACATCTGCAAAATCACCGATTTGGGTTTGGCAAAAACATGTCTCGATGAACTCCATACAGACTACGATGATCAGCAAAAAGTGCCATTCAAATGGTTGCCTCCAGAAGTTCTGTCGACAAGAACTCTATCTTTACAAACGGATATTTGGGCATTTGGAATAACTTGCTTTGAAGTTTGCAGCAAGATGGGAGAGCCATATGGATGTATTCAAGCATCGAACCTTTATCAGTACTTGAATGATGGGTATCGTCACGATATATTGAAGGATATGTCAGCTACTATCTATGATATTGCCTTGGATTGTATGAGGCATTATCCATCTGATAGACCATGTTTCGAGTAAGAAACTATCATGTTAGTATCCTACTGGAGTATTTTTCAGAGAGCTAGTTGATCGATTCCTGGATCACATGATTGAAACTGAAGGAGAGGATGATGTGAAACGAAAGGAACGCGAAAAGATTACGGCGGAGAAGAATCGAAAGGAAAGAATGAGAAAGAATCATGACAAATTGCATCAATGAGTGTATTATAAGACAGTATCATATTTAAATATTTATTCATTGAATTGAGGCAAAACATTTACAAATATAAATAAATTATGTCGTTGAGTTTTGGATATTCAGTGCGATTCGTTCAATGAGAAAACTTGACAGAAATGATTTTCTTTGGAACAGCACAGTTTTTGGTTCCAGCTGGTGCGGAATAGGCGGTCAATCCGTGAGTGCACATGACAAAGTATTCATCAGAATTGAGAGATGAACGGACGGAGAGTAGAGAATCAGATGGAGTGGTTTTCATGTTCTGGAAAAAATAATGGATTGTGGTTTTGAAACGGAAAAGTTTCTAGAGAAGTTAAATTTTTTAGCTGAATTGATCTGCTTTCTGGCTGTCCTGTGGACATCGTCACTTTGATTTACCAGAACAAATTGTTGTAATTGAGGTCAAAGTGACTACATATATCAAAAAGTGGTTAACTGACAAAATATTTTTGAAATTTTGATATTTTTTGTCACTTCTCCACTGTTTGATATTTTTTACAGGAGATGAGATATATGGGTGTAAATTTGCCGGTTTGGGTGGTCTTCTATTAGAGGAAGCACGGTATATGTGAGGGCCGGTCTATAGGAAATAACACATATTTTTACTGTATCTTACCTTCTCTAAGATACCCTTCAAATCCTGATTGTTACACTCCAAAATACTATCCATATTGATAATTCCCTCCACAGCTGGCTCTCCTTCAACTGATCTCTTCTTCCTACCGCACCCACATCCACACATTGGTGGTGGTGGTGGAGGTGGAAGTGGTGGAGCACATACTGGAGGTGGTGGTGGAGCACAACACATTGGTGGAGGTGGTGGGGGAGGAGCGCCGCATCCACAAGCTGGAGGTGGTGGT